CTTCCTCCTCCTCTTCCTACCTGGCTGGCGGAGGAGGCTGCCCTTCGGCTTCCACAGTCGGTGGAGACGGCGGCAGCAGTTTCTTTCCTGTGTCTGGCCAGATGGGTTTCTCCGAAATTGATCAGATGGCGGTGACGACGACGCCGTTTTGTCCTTCAGAAATCACCTCAAACCTAGAGTTCCAATCAGGTAATCAACATAATTCAACCTATTAAAACATTAATAATCTCACTCACAATGCATGTTATTGAGCTTTATTCTTCCAAATTAACAAAATTAAACAAACCCTCTTTCATTTTCAAGGTCTTTTAGAACTATGCATGGCCATGAGAGAGTTTCCCATTTGGATTCTCTTTTTTTTTTTCCTCTCCACAATTTGAACTGTTAGAACATCAAAAGAGCAAACTTTCTGATGATGTGACAGTTCGTTCTTGAGCTGGAATTTTTGAACACTAAAATCAAAGAGACAGACTTTTGTGTATGTTTTTTTTTCTTTTCTTTTCTTAAATTATTACAAACACTTCACGGGAAGTTCTGAGAGATTGATGTTGCTGTGCCTCGGTTGTCGATCTGATGGGGTTTTAATTTGCAAGAAAATATAAACTCTTAAATTCTTAAATTCTTAAATTCTTATATTTATTTATTTTTTGGGTGTAGGTTATATTATAATATTTATAAATGGAGTTCCAACAGAAGTTCCAAAAGGGGCAGTGGACATAAAGGCAATGTTTGGAGAAGAGGCAGTGTTGGTTCATTCATCAGGACTCCCAGTTCTTACCAATGAATTTGGAATCTCTCTCCACAGTTTGCAGCATGGTGAAAGCTACTTTCTGGTACTTAAACTCCCACTTCTCCCTTTCTCTAGTTTCTCTCTCTTGGAAACAAGTTAATTAAAAGTTTTGAACTTTTCAATCTCTTTAGCAATTGGAACAAACTAGCAAGATCATAACCAAACAAAACTACAAAGAGATTCTTTTTCTTGGGTTTCTGGTTGATTTGAAGTGGGTTATTGAAATGGGTGGTTTTGCTAATGAATTAGATATATACTTTGTTGTTGGTTGTTTCTTTGGTTAAAAAAGATAAAAGATTGAAACTTTGAGATATCGACCAAGATAATTGGTGTCTTATTTACTGAGCTATGTTTGAATTGAATTACGTTGTTGGTGGTTCTAATATGTATTTTTTTTGGAAGTATTGACGAAATTAATTAATAGAGGGAAAATGGTGGAGTTGTGAGATTAGCGAAAGAAAATATTTGCAAAGAGGAACTTGGTGTGAAAGTAGGTGCATACAGATATAAACTTGTAAGAATGTGTGAAGAAAGATTAGGGAAAGAATTATATTTTCGTAGAGCTAAGATAAAATCTTGTTTTAAGTAGGAGAAGTGGGGATGGATGATTCGAATATATGACCTCTTAGTTAGAGACAAGTGTCAATTACTGCTGAGTTAAGTTTATGTTGGCATTCGTAGGAATAGGATCGGGTAGATAAGTTAATTAAATATATATAAGATGTGCAAAGAAATTAGCAAGAAAAATTAAGCAATTTAAACACTTGTATATGCCTAATTATGTGTCTAATTGAAAAGAAATTTGGTAGTCATAAAAGTATAATTAAACATACCTTAATATGGTGTATAACTTATGCAAATGAATCCAAATGATGCAGATTAATTGACTAGGAATCTTTTTTCATTGGAAATTAGGAAAAAGAAAATATACACCATAAAATAATATCAAAACAAAAAACTTAGAAACTTTGGAATTGGAGTTATATATATATCTAGCAATATGAACCCATTGGCCACTCATTTTTTCAAGATTCTAATCTCCTTTTATGGAGATGTCAAGGTAAACATAGTCATTTTTTCACTTCTCAAATAAATTATAAATTATAAATCTTATTATTAATATTTATATTTATATTGACAATATTTTCGATCTAACATCAATCTTTTGTTTGTCATTCTCCCTAGATTATTTATATTTTAGTCCATGAACTTTCCTATTTTATATAGTTCTTGAACTTTGGAAAAGTAACCCTGAATTAATTTAATCCACACTTTTATTTTCCTTTTTACAAATTCATAGGGTACTAATGTGTTACCATGGATGTGTATATATATATATTTTTTTTCTTAGTACAACAAGTGGGGTGGTAAGATTCGAATTCATGACCAGAGACAAGTGTCATTTATTGCTGAGCTAAGTTCATGTTGGTACCATATTGGACATGTATTTAAACCACATATAGATGGGAAGACGAGAATGGGATAAATAGCAAAATAATATATGTCAAGGACTAAAAGTTGTTATTTTTTTAAAGTTCATCGAGTAAAGTAGACATTTTGAAGGTCTCGGGGAAAAAAAAATAGATACTTTTAAAGTTCGTGAATTAAAATAAAGCAAACCCAAAAGTTTAGAGACCAAAACGGGATCATTTAAACCTATTTTTTTTCCTTAATATCAAATCAAAACATAGAAAAAGAGAAGGAAAAGAAACATGAGGGGATGTGTTTGGCAGAAAAGAAACTTTCCAGGATTCCATGAAGTTTGTCTGTGTGTAGGAAGGAAAACTTGATCTGTTGTTGAAGTGGCAAGCATGATCTTTCATATTCCTTTTAATTCCTCACATAATTTGGTGTTCATATTCAATGAATGAACCAAAAAATACCCAAAAAAAGCAAAAACAAAAAACAAAAAACAAAACAAATGATGATATTAAGATTATTTGTGTGGAATTTTGGTCTCACAGGTTTCAAGACCGACATGAGTTAGGAAATAAAGCAGCAGCAGCAGCAGCCTACCAACAAGAACAAAAATTTCAAAAGAGATCTCAGCTTTTCAAATAATTTGCTTTTTTTTTTCCTTCTTTTTTTGGCTTTTTTCTTTTGGGTGTTGAGATGTTTAATTAATTTGGGTTTTGTTTTTTCTTGTGTAATGTTCAGGGAAATTGGATCTAAAAAAAAGAAAAGAACTTTATAATAAAGTTTTACAAACATACCCATTTTGGATATTATATTATATATACATAAATATGTGTCTCATATTTCTCTCTGTGGTTGTGTGTTTAATTATGTTATTGGGAGTCCATTTCTTTTGGTTCTTGAAAAACCCTAATGAAAAAGGACATATTTCTGCGTTATATACCTATGGAAAAGTTTATAATACTAGGGTAATTTGAGCTAGGCTTGATGTTATATGGATGTGCGACCGGAATTTTCGGTTCGATTCGAGAATTTGTGATGGAATTAAATTTTGAAGTGATTGTTGGATTGATTGATTTTTCTTCTAGTACAACAAATGTGGAATGACTGTTAAATTTATCAATAGGTAATGTTTATACTTGAATTTATTTTTTGTTAATTGGTGTATTTTTTTTTTTAGTTGAATAAGGGGGGGCGTTTCAAATCTTGATCTTTAATGAGGTAGGTAATGTTATGAACGGTTGAGTTTTGCAATACTTTAAATAGGTGGCTTCGTTGCTCTATATTCATGATATAAAATATCACAATTTTTTCCGCTATATACTATTCAACTCATACATTTTCTTAGGCACAAAGGGAAAAGTAGCAAAAAAAATTAATAGGAATTTGAAAAAGTAGCAATCACTTTTATAATTTTGCAAAATCCAGAGACCCATCTCACATAGAAAAAAGCAAAAGTCCTAATGAATACACAAAGCTCAAACAACGATATACTTGATAATATCTATAATATATCATATATATATACGATTATGAGTGTTAATAGACCAATGATATACTAAGCATATACCGTATAAATATATCTTTGAAAATCATATTTCAAATATTTTGCCATATTTATATAAAATCTAAAAGTTGTTGCTATATTTATAAATCATCACAAATTTTCGATTTTCTTTTTTTAATCTTCACAAGCTTATACTTTCCCTGGTGTGACACATTATATACACTAATGGGCTTTAGCGAACCTCATTTACTAAAGCTATATAGTTTAGCTTGCCACAAATTTGATAGCTTATATATTTGTCATTCGATGTCAAAACGGTTGATTCTTCCGGATCTACTAAATTTTCCTTCTTTTATAATTACGACATTTTCATTATTTATTTGAAATGGAGCGCTTTCGTTTAGCCACCTTTTACTTGTATATTTTTCATATACCTTTAGAATGAATGAGTCATCCT